AGGTGGGACCTTCCTCATCATCACTGAAAGCCCAGGGAGGCCGCATGGAAGAATATGTGCAGACACTTCCAGGGGATTCACATCAGCCAGGCGATGTGCAGCAGCTTGAAGGAGACTAACATCCCCCAGGGCACTGGAGGGAGGACTGTGCATGCCACCAGGGGTCATGGCATACCTCCTGGCCTCCTCCAGAGAGGGACACATGCTTTCATCTGTGCCCTCCATGACGAAGGTCTCCCTGCTCTGTGCCTGGGAGCTGAAGGAGCTGTCATTCCCTACACTCTGAGTGAGGCCGAGGAGGTCTTGGCTGTCCAAGGGCTGGAGACAAGCGGGCTGAACTCTAGACTCCAGTGGCTCCTCAGTCTCCAGGTCTGGCAGGGCTCTGGAGATCAGCTCCTCCAGCCTGCTCCTCAGGACATCCGGAGCCACGCCATTCCCATAATGGTGACACACCACGCCATAAGGGAAGACCTACAGTGACAGAATATGGGGTAACGTTAGAGGTGGGAGTCTAAGATATGGCATAGTCTCTACCTCCTGTAGCTTTTCTTCATTTTGCATTCGGAGAAAGAAAGAAGAAGCTAATCAGAGTTAATCATAGGTGTCCTGACTTAAGCACAACTGTTGTTAATGGAAGTCCTGGCAGTGACAGTCTGGAGTGAACTGTCTGTTGTGAGACGAGGTATTTATGCTGGAAACTAGGTGTTTCGACAAACTGAAAGAGATAAGGAAACCAGCAGGTTTTGGAGAAGAATATTATTTTGGAGATCCAACAGTAGTTTTCCTCCTTGTTTGTCTAAGTGTGTGGAAACGTAGAAATTATGTCTCCAAACAAAGCCCAAATACTAGAGGACAAACCCGGACGATCCCAGTCCCAGCAAAATATGAAAAACCAGACAGTTTTCACTGGAGTATCACTCACGTTTTCTGCTTGTGTCGTGAATGAGTGCGCTGGCAAAGCGAGAAAGCACCTAAGAACTCGCCATCAATCATCAATCCAGCCTAAGCTTAGATCCCCACCTGTGCTGGAGTGATCTCACTCGCAGGGGAACTGGTCCCTGTGTGTCCCACTTCACTAGTACTGCTCGTACTAGGTGCATCATGGGATTGGTCTTGTGGGGTTACTGATGTCGCATCCACCTCTAACTCCGGACTCTCAGTCCAGTGGTACCCTGCAAAGGCACAATGGGTTTCCATTACCAAAGCTTGCTGGTCTTCTGAAAAAGAAGGGACCTGACTTCCTTTAAACAATTAGATTACCTGCCTTATCATTTTGTGTCCAATCTTTCACTTCAACATAGGCAATGTGACACGCTACGTATCTCTACAGCCCACCAGACTTATTAGAAATAAGAAAGGTTAAAAGGTTAAAAGGCCATTTCAATAATCTAACTCCTGTGGTCACTAGTGGATAACTGAGCTCTACTCTGGGCTAGATTATCTTCTTCCCAGTGACATGTCCTGCTAATTCAACTTCATACTAAAGAAAAAAGCTTTGGGCAACAATATAAAATTACAATCAGGCAGAAGGCCCAAAACCAGCATAGAATGAGTTCAAAACTGCATTGAATTGAAATAGAGATCACATGAACCACTCTAGCTAGGGGACAGCATAGGAAAAACTCTGCCAACATGTCTGTTAGCAGACTTAACATACTATATTCTGGCTGGACGCCTCTTTTACATCATTTCAGATAAGTTGAGTTAACAGCATTTACTTTCTTCTCCATGAAAGGTACACAGATTCCCTGCTAGGAAGAGATCTTTAGTGTCTGCAGAGTGGGGCTTTTTGCAGTAGTACTGGACACATGTGGAGTAAAATATTTGTGTGCAGTTTTCAGTGTTATTGTCAAAAATACAAGATTGATTAAGGTCTTACACAGTACCTGAGTCTTTGATCCAGGTGCCAGCTGCCTCTGAGCTCAGACCTGTATCCTGCATTTCGGACACCTAATTAAATTAAATCACACTGTTAGTGACATATGATATGTTAACGACATAGTGACACCAAGGAACTATGTGTAAGTGTAAACTGACTATCAAAAAGATAACATCCCCTGAAAATCAATCCAAAGCAATCCCAGATCAGACTCTCCAAACAATAATAAGTGTTTTCTGAAAGGAAAGGCCTCCAGCAACTGCAATGTTTTTAGGTAGAATATGGTGACGGGTTGGACTGTAAGAGCAAAAACCCAACACACTGGAAGGATCATGTCTGTCTGGAATACGTTCTTTGAGAAACTGCACCTGGTTGAAAGGCCCCAGAAGATTTTGCCCATTCTGATCAAAACAATCTCTGAAGTCCCTTCTCTGGTCTCTCACTGCTGGTTTCCACTCAGGCAGTGTGGCAAGGTTGTCCTGCAGAGAATTGGGGTCTTCCCCCTTCAAGAACATAAACAAATGTTTCTGAATGTTTGTTTAAGTCACCGGCACGAATCCCTGGTCAGCAGGCAGTCCTTCACAGCACTACACACATCCAGTTACACAGTATGTCTGTGTGATACAGCAGTACAACTATCTGTCTGTGTGATACACAGACTGTAGCAGCCAAGTTTTCAGTCGATCTGCAACCTACAGGCCAGGTGCTTAAATTCACTGCACACACGTTTAGCTACACTTTATTATTTACTTAACTTTTACTTTTCTACAGTACATATACAAATCAGGGTCGACAGTATTATTTCTGCTTTAATGCTACTGTAAAATATATATGTAATCTAGCCTTTACAAGGCGCTACAATGTATTTTTTAGGCATAAAACGTGACATTTTAGTGAACAAAAAAGTGGAATCACTACTGAATGGTTTAGTCTTACCAACGTTTTTACGTTATTTAAATTTTAGTTTAGAAACTATCAGTGATTTACAATCTCTTTAGTAGTTTGTTTATAAACAGGCCATTGAAGTTACAACTATTACAAAACATTAAGCAAGCAAGATATAAAAAGCCTTACCGGATCGTCCATGTTTACCGAGAAAATAAATCCCAGCGGTTTAAAAACTACGATCTATATTTACCTTGGCAACGTGACGTCACAATAGAAACGTCATAATAACAATAGCACGTAGGAAACATTCTAAATTGGTGAAAATAAATAAAATTTATCATTAAGAGTTATATATCATTTTCAAAATGAAAAGGGATAATATAACAGTGTGGATTGACTCAAAACATACGGTGTTATGTATTTGGAGGTTTGGGAAGCACATTCCTGCCATCAAGGGAAATAGTTAATGAACTATCTCGTAATTAAAATAAACTTATTTTTTCGTTATTACAAAAGCAAATCGATAATTTCTTAATGACAGTCTCGAGTACGTCATGCGATAATCACGCCGTAGCTCAATTGTCATACAGTAATTAGGCTTTCAGTTTAAAGTAGTGAAATCGATTTCAGGGGATAGTTCTTTTTAAAATATAATAATAATTCCTCACACTTCTATAGCGCTTTTCGGGACACTCCACAAAGCGCTTAACAGGTAATGGAGATCCCCTCCACCACCAGTGTGTAGCACCAAGCTTGATGCTGTGACGGCACCCAGAGTGCGCCAGTCCGCTCCCCACACACCAGCTCTCAGTGGGGAGGAGAGCAGAGGGATGAAGCCAGTTCAGAGAGGGGGGTTATTAAGAGGTCATGATTGGTAAAGGCCAGGGGGAAATTTAGGCAGGTCGCCGGGGTTAACACCCCTACTCTTTTTGAGAAAACGCCCTGGGATTTTTAATGACAGAGTGTCAGGACCTCGGTTTTCGTGTCATCCGAAGGACGGCGCCTCTTTTACAGCATAGAGTCCCCGTCACTGCAAGGTGAGCACTACCTACAGGCCCCACTAACACCTCTTCCAGAAGCAACCTGAGTTTTTCCCAGGAGATCTCCTATCCAGGTGCTGACCGGGCTCACAGCTGCTGAGCTTCAGTGGGCTGCCAGCTGGGAGCTGCAGGGTGATAGAGGCTGCTGGCAAAAGAATAATGCTTTATTTTCTGTTTTGGCAGATAAAACCGACCACGAAGGGACTCGAACCCTCAATCTTCTGATCCGAAGTCAGACGCCTTATCCATTAGGCCACGCGGTCGTACAGAGTAGCGCAGGGATGCCTGAGCTTGTGATCGTGTTCACTTTCGGTACAAATTGTAATGTTTCATTGCGAACACGCCGCAGTGGGGCGTAAGACCCTCTGAGCTCTCGGGGGCTCATAGCACAATGTAATCGGTTTACTATCTCGCCATTTCTTTATGCACATATAAAAGGTTTTTTTTAACATATCTATATTTTTTTCTTGACGGAAAGTAGTGCGATTCCGCAGTTGGGGGCGCCACGAAAACAGTTTTTATTATGTTTAAAACACTCTTCCCCCTTGTGTATTCCAAAGCAATCGCGCCAGACCCCTGCACAAGAGTGTTATAGGTATGGCAAAGGCTCGGGTGAAGAAAAGCAATTTCGATGCGGGGAAACACGGCTTGTTTGCAGAGGCTTGACGGGTCTGTGTGTCTGAATCGGCGGGTCCGCCGTTTACTTTACATTTAAAAAGCCAGAAAAATCAGCCACACGTTGTGAGGGAGGGGAGGTGGAAGCAAAGACTTATACGGATTTTGTATTCTATCCAAATCAACTTTATTTCGCAAAAATCTTTCACAAGAAGTATACACTCTTCACGAACGATCAAACTCACGTGAGATTCTAAAAAAAAAAACCTCTCTAAATGAGCTGAGTGTTCATGATCCATCAGTGCAATTGGATGATGGGGGTTTGCACGATTAATAAGTCCCCCCCCACCGCTGGCTTTTGGGGGGTGTCCCGGCTCTGAGACTGCGGCCGCTGTGTCCCCCGCAGTCACAGAAATGTTGAGGGATGGGCGTGTCACTTCTTCGCCGACCGCAGACTGTGCAGCTTGCTGCTGCGGGAGAAATGTGAATTTTTAATCAGACTCCACCGCTCCCCCTCCAACCATCGGTACCCAGGGGCGTTGACACCGCCTTACACTCAACTTCCTCGCCGAAGTGATCACTTCCTGGACTGCGGGCTCCGGCTTCTGTCGGGAGAGCGACAGGGATTGTAAATATTCAGGTTTATTTTTTATTTACTTTTTATAATTAGTCTATTTTTTACCTCCCACCACCCCCCTCCGGTCTCTCTGTATAATCAGCTCCGTTGTCTCACCGACGTCTCTTCGTAAATATGGTGGTGCTGAACAATAATAACAACAGCGGCGGGGAAGAAGATTATATGTAAGTACAAAGCACGTTTTGCTGAGATAAAAAAAAAAATGTTTCGCGTAGAAAAATAGGTCTGGTTTGACCTAATTAGGTACAAAGATGTAAGAGAGAACTGGTGTTTTTTCGAGGTTTGCTCAGGTGTTGCTTGGGCGTAACTCGAAGGTGGAATATTAATGTTGATCTTCAGAGTGCTCCTCGGGAAAAATTAATTGGTTTATGACATCGGGTAGTCAGGTTTCTTAATGCTGCTTGTAATGCAAATAAAATATAAAACTCTTCTGGCTTAGGAGTTTGTTTTTGGACAGTCTTTCGACGCCATTTTGATCATATTTATATATGCTATGGAATATGTGAGATATTCTTTTAAAAGGCTGGCTGTACATGAACCAGGGAATTAAATACGTTCAGTTTCTGATCTTAATAAGCATGCTTAATGTTTAAATTTGCTTGCGATGTGGTATATTTACATCGGCCTGAGGTTTTTCTTTCCCCTCCATTAAATAATGTAATTTCTGCCTTGGCTATACACGTATGTGATGTAAACGTAATCTGTGTATTACACTGTTTTTGTCATCTGAATTGCCCTGTATGTAGAACATGTCAGTTGGAACCAAAAAAATAAGGTTCGCGTAGCCCGTCGCATATGACATCGTTGGGAATCTAATGTTAAATGTGTTATGCCAAAAAAAAGTCTGTTTTTTCTAATAACACGCTCCGTATCTGTGCCTATTTTTACCGTGGGCATGTGCTTCAGTCAGCCGGCTGTGTCGGCCAATCAGAATGCGGCAGGGACGAGACGCTGCGCGCTGACCCCGCCCACTTCTCTTAAAGGACCCCGCTTCGCCTGCCCAGTTCTGACCGAGTTTGCCTTGTTTTTTGGCCATGACTGTGGCTCCCTGCCATTAGCCTTTAGGTTGAAGTATTTTATTTATGCCCACAAACACTACATTTCATTCTTTGCCTCACAGTTCCGGTGTTTGACCCTTTTCTAAAACCGTCGCCCTTTTATTTTTGAATAGACTTCTATTACTGCCCTGACTGAAAGTCGGGGTTGGATGACATTCCTCTGTGTGAATCCTGCCTGTATACTTTGACACTTAAGTGAGTCACACTGACGTGTCAGTGATGTTGTGTTAAAGGTCATTATAGTAGCTGTAAGCAATCTGTGCAAGACGATATTCATAAAAATCTGTTCATGTGCTTTATACAAATGATCAAACTTATTTTAAAACGGGGGAAAAAAATAATGGGGGCTGTCTTTAACTTAACGCTAGACCTACACTTGGGTGAAGATTGGTCTTCATGTGTGTTATGTGTTGAGATACAAGCTTAGAATGGACCGGCGGTGAGTGCTTTGGTACTTTTTTTTAATTTTGACAGGTTTACTCTTACAAGTCTTATCGGTTTGCAGCTGACCTGGCAAGCAGCTGCTTTTTCTGTGACACTGTTGAACGTGTCAACTCCTTGGCCTCCAGTTGCCAAGTCAGCTTGATTTATACTGTGGACGGAGTGAGTCCCAGTGAGGAGCCGAGATGACGCCCTCGCTCACCTGCAGATAGTCACGGGAGGTTCAGTGGGAGGGCTGAGAGCCTTCGGTTTGTCTCGTGTCCAGATAAGGGCGGCCTGTCCAGAAAGCGGAAGGTTTCCGTCTGGGCATGTTCCTTACCAGTGGCTGTACATGTCCTTCCCTCACGGGGCGTTCTGTGCAGTGCAGTGACGTAAGCACTGAGATGGCGGCCCTGCCCTGCCCTGCCCTGCCCTGCCCTGCCCGTGCCTGTGCTGGCCAGTTCTTGTCACTGAATGGACAAGAACCAGCCAGGTCTGGGATAAGTAGGAAGATTTCTTTCACGCTGCGTGGGTGTTGCTGTCCAGCTCCCCATTTTGACGTCACACGAGCTTCCCCAGACATGAAATGTACATTGAACACAACAGTTTTCATGACAGCTTACCCCATGTGACATTAACACACAGTAAAATCCGTTCTGTATTTCATAAAGTCTCGAGTTACCTTGCATATAAATTCAGGGTTTGAAATTTGGCGAGTCACCACTTGTTTTTATAACGTCCCTCTAACATCACTTCATCCCGAATTATAAAATGTCTGATGCCAGTAGGCACAGCTTGAGCTAGTGTGTGTATAGATTGTAGTATTTGCTGTTGTGTCGGCTAGTTGCGGGACCTACCCTTATTTCAGGCAGGTATGTACAATTTGTTAATTTCATGAGAAGTGTTTGCTTTTCAGGTCATGAGAGAAATGACCATAGTTTTTGCTGACTGTGATCAGCACATTTATTCGTCTGTGGAGTTGATTTACGTAGTTGCAGCTACAAGCACCTGTTGCCCGTGGGTTCACGTGGGTGACCTGTGTCTTGCAGACTTGTCGATGGCCCGGACCCTTCGTTGACGGGCTCACCTGCCAAGCGCATCTCTCCTGCCAAGCGGAAGCAGTACTTTATCAACAAGGCCATTCGCAACTCGGACCTCATCCCCAAGGCCAAGGGGCGGAAGAGCTTGAGGCGCCTTGAGAACAGTAAGTTCAGGTTCAAGTTTATTGTCATTACACTCATATACATGGTATATGGTATAATGAAATGCTATTTAGCTAGCTCTCGGACATAAGTAGTACAAAGAGAAAAACAACAACAACAACAACAATAC